ACATATACAGTTTAAATCATTGAAAACATGTATAAAAACGTCCATCCAGCATAGATAGCAAGTATTCAGATAATATGCACACACATAGCACGTAATTTATAAAATACTTCATATATATATATGTGTAAGCTGAAAGTAACTATGACCTCACTTGAAAGTTGGTGACTTATCACTTGGACAGCACTTCGATACTCTCAAAACGATTTTCCTAGTATCGATACCACTAGGGTTTAGTCTAACGATAACCGCGACAAATTAATTGTCTGGCTATTATTCTTATTATATAAGCGTTTATAACACTCAATATAACTCATAATAATAGCCCAAATAATTATTTTAAGGACCTAATAACATTCCTATAATTATTTGAAAGCTATATTAAAAATTGCATAAGCGTAGCACACTTACAGCGAATTTTATCGAAAACCGGAACTTAATTGGAGCATCGTTTCGTAACTGAAAGACTCTTTTTTCTCGGGACTCCGGGAGCCTCGGGGCTTCCCTCGGGAGCTAAGGGGTTTAGCTAGGGCTTAGGGGACTCAAAAGGGGTTAGAGAGAGAAAGTAGTTTAGAGAGAGAAGTGAAAATGTGTGAAAAATCCAAAAGAATTCGCATGGTATTTATAGGGACCGAAGCTCGGATTTACGTTGGGCATACCGAGGGTACGCTGGGCGTACTCCTAGGATAAGGCTTCTAGGTCGGATCCAGTTGGCTTCGTACATCGGACGGATAAGGGCGAGGGTACGCGGGGCGTAAAGCGAGGGTGGCGTGTCACAATCCGAAGCAAGGACCGTGGGCCGCAAGCGACGGCTGGGATCGTGCCACATCATCAGTCTCGCACCAGGTTTCGCATTTTCGAGTCCCAACTTCAAAAATTCGTATCTTCCACATACGAACTCCGTTTTTAACGTTCTTTATATCCCCCGAAGGTGGGAACGTACTCTACAAATTTCGTTTAGACTCCGTCGGCTAACTTTGAGTTGATTTTAAATTTTATATTATTAATGACCCGCGACAGGATTGGTCCGTTAAATCCTCATAACTTCTTCATCCGACATCCGTTTTCGCCCATCTTTTTCTCGTTACGCAACTCTCAACGAGATCTTCGATTCTCGTTTAGGTCGTGTCAGCTAAAAATCACTCGATCTAATATTCGAATTTCGTGTTGTACACTGCTATTCCGAAACTTCGACGGGTCATAACTTCTTCGTTATAACTCGGATTTCGGCGTTTCTTATATCCCCAGAATCCTTGTTTCGACCACTACAACTTTTTATAAATATATCGGGCTTATCTCACACTTTAATTTTAATGCTTATTTTTATTCTTTATTAATTATACATTTATAATTAAATAGTAAGCACATAAACACACCTAATTCACATAATACTCAAATATTTCATCTTTATTACTTCGAAAAGAGTTACAAGAGTTGACCTAGACTATTACGTTGACAAAAATGCTTAGCCTTGAAACCCCGGGCGTTACAAATGACTCCTTCTAGGCATGAACAACCTAGAAACAATCACAAATTTGTAAGCTAATTATCCGGGAGAAGATCTTGGGACAACGCTCCGATGATAAAGTTAGTGAAGATTGATAGAATCTTGTTGTGAATGTTTTTAGTTGGGATGGTAGAGCGATGTTTAGCATACCTCACTTCCATATATTAAATTACCTATTTATATCCAAGGTGGAAACATCCTGAACTTCCTATGTGCCGAACTGATCTACTATCATATTTCATTTATGGTCATACGCCCAAAGGTACAAGAAGAAAGGCCTGGAAACCATTATACAACTATTCCTCGTAAGTATAAGGTTCTATCAATTACCTTTCTACATACTGATGGGTTTTAAGCATATCTACATTCCTATGTGATCATGCAACCTTAATTGTTTTGGATATAAGTTTTTCACAATTTGAACATGCAAATTGAATACCAAAGCAATAACCCTAAAACTAGTGCATAATTCGAAATTCACATAGAAACTAGGGTTAGGAGATTACCTCACTTGTTATGTAGAAATAACAAGAATACCTTGAAGATCCTTGACTCTTGAAAGCTTAGTGTCCCAAGTGTTGCACCACTAATGGAGTCACAAACACCCAATACAAAGGATGAGTTGGAGAGACAAGGAAATCGGCTAGGCTAAGGTTTCTTAAGCATATGGCCGAAAATTCCATATGACAAGGTTCCTTATATAGTTGTGGGCTGCTAGGGTTTCTAGAGGAAACCGTAATTCCTGATTAAGGCTTAAGCAGCCCATGGACTCCTCCTTATGAGGCCTTGGACGAAATCTATAGGGCCTCCCTATATAACTTCGTTTACTCCTAATTAAGGAGTCCAATAGTTTAGTTCTGCAACTATCAATGATTTACAAAACAACCCCTCCATTATTAATCAGTTCCTTTAATCCCAAAAATTAACACCAAATTAACTTATGATTAAATACTAACTTATAATAAGATTTCTAAATAATATATTAATCTTGTAATATATTAATAAAATCATTTTGAGTACCAATTTATTATTTCACATAATAAATTATACTCTCTCTCCAGTAGTTATCCTGTCAAGTTCATTTTATCACGAAGTTTGGGCTTTTAGGTATAGTTTGGTGCTTGGGTGTGCTTTAGCCCTTCCACTTGGTTTGGTGGTATTTGTAGTGCGGTAGTTTTTGTAGTTCGGTCTTCTTGAGGGTGTAAGCGTAGTGATAAACCCAATACCCTATTATCATTTATTTCATACTTAACATTTGTTATATTTTGGGTATATTTTGTTATCTTTTACTTTTGCAGGGGTTTTGTGTTTATATTTTTTATGCATATTTCATTTGGACACACAAATATTTTGATCCACAAGTCTTCCTTAACCAGACATATTTAGAGGGTATTTGGCTTAGCTTTTGTGAGACAAAAGTCCTTTTTGTAAAAGAACTTTTTGTAAAAGAACTTTTTGTAAAAGTTGTTTTTTAAAATGTGTTTGTATTAGCTTTTTAAGGGAAAAAATAAAAAATTAAAATGTTTGGTTTAACTTTTACATGTAAAATGACTAAAAATGACTAAAAATGACATGGTTTAACTTTTAGATGGGGTTATAAATGTAATTTAATGTTTTAGTTGGTGAAAAGTCAGGAAAAGTCACGATTTCGTGACTTTTCAAAAAGCTGGAATTTACACTATAGCAAAAGTTGATTAAAAAGTCATTTTCATTTTACCCAAACATCTTTTTGGACTTTTTGTAAAAGATAAAGTCAAAAGTCACTTTAAAAGTCAATACAAACACCCCCTTAATGTCTTGTGTTTCATCTGGTTCACAACTTGTATTCGATGTTCAAATTTCTCTTAAAAACTCTCGATTTTTTAGGGTTTTTATGTAGTTCATATGTTCTAGGGTTTGTATGATTTTTGTAATCGTAAGAGAGTTGAGTGTTATTGTATCAAGTTTTTTTTTTTTTTTTTGTAAAAGTTGTATATAACGTTTTGGTTCATTAATAATATAGATTGTTCAAGTTGGAAGAATCATCTTGTGTTTTTTCATAGCATGTTTCTCTACTTAAAAGTTAAAGTCATTACTTTAGAACCTACAACTTAAAGTCCCCCTTTTAGGACCTACAACGGTTGTTCTCCAAAACTATTAGGTTTAAGTTTTACGACGATGCCCTATGACCTCCTACGTTGTTTGTTACCCTCCAACAAGTCCGCTGCAAGGGATGCTACCCCTTCATGACCCCTTGACCCATTATCTGTGGTGTCCAAGATCAAAGTAGACCACATGACTACATGAGTGTGCATTTTGCACCTCGTGTCTCGTAATTAAGGGTAATTCAAATTCTTTCGATACTCATGTAATTTTCAATTACCTAATATTAAAATCACGGATAAGAATCAATTTAGTTTGTGGGATGTTGTTAATGACCTAAACTCATGAATACCATTGTTTGGTGAAATTCTATCTCATATTTGAGTGGATATTATTTCACCAGCCATACTCATAATCGACAATTCATTAAAAAAAAGTCCATTGCTTCAACAAATATCGCCTACCTAATAATGCGAATTTCATGGCCATAGCGCTAAAGTCAAGCTCCAATATTAGACAATCTTCATGTGCATCAACACTTTTTGTCCTTTACACCACAAACAGAAGATAGATTAACGGTATCCTTATGACCCCTACAAACTAGAGAATCAAACCATTTTTTATTGATTTATCGAATAATACACATTTTCTAAAGTAAGTAATGTCAAATGATACGAGCAACCCTAACAAACCTACGAACAAATATATAGTAATTTATTAATATTTGTAAGCACTCAAATAGAACATTTTTAGTGACGTTTTTATGTATCAAAATAGAACCAATCTTGTATCCCTATAAATTTCGTAACAATATACTCATATTACAAATTCAAAAGTTTTATACTACCCTATAAATGTAAAATAATTCTCGAAAGGAAAACCCAAAGTACAAATACCCAGATTATGAAAATCTCAAAAGGGTATTGGGTTCAGCATCATCGACATAGGTCATGTCATGCATTGCACAGTAATTTACACCTTTACCCCTGAAAAAGGTCAATATATATGACATCACAACACAACTTTATTTACACTTTTACCCCCCGCTCCGGTTTTCTTTCCTGTTAGCCAGCTCATTTCATTTCTGCCGATAATCATAAATTTTCCAAATCCTGAGTAGAGTACAAATTTTAAAGCATATTTTACATGTTGTAACAGTAGGTGATGTGATTTTGGAAAATCTTTGATCTGGCAACATTAATTACCTTCATCATCCCACCGAAAACAGACGCAAAATACACGCACTCGCAAAAACCCTTTTGCTTTCTATCTCCCACATCCAACCCTTTTCGACATTTTCTCTGCCAGATCTTGGAGATGCGTCCTTGTTGAATCGCTGTCCTCTGTTCTTCTCTTCTTCTGAGTCTTTCTCTCTCTAGACACATTTGCATTTTTCATAGTGTAGTAATTTTCTGGATAGTCATAGGAGTACTAGGTAATATTGCAAGAATTGGTTGTAAGATACCCATTTGGATTCTGTCTGATTCTTGTTGATTTTCTACTGACATTCGGTTTGATTCGTATCGTAAAAGATAAAAGGTGTGTTTTTTTGTTGGTGGGATAATCAAGAAAGAGAGAGAGAGAGAGAGAGAGAGAGAGGGAGAGATGGCGGATGGTGTGGAAGCAGCGGTGGTGGACGATGGTTCTACGATGTTTAGCGAGGTGGAGGTGAGAGAGATGTCTGGGTTCAAGCGTGGCGGCGATGATCACGTGGAAGTCACGTGCGGTTGCACTAGCTACTGCTACGGCGACGCCGTCGGCACTCTTAGGGTGTTCGCTAGCGGCGATCTCGAAATCCGATGCGATTGTACCCCTGGTTGTCAAGAAGGTCTCGCTTTTATTATCGGTTTACTTTTGTTTCTCTAGACCCATTTTGCATGTGAAAGTTACTGTGTGTGTTGTTTAATGGAGCTGGTGAATACTAAAAATTCAATATTTAGCAAAATGGATCAAGAATAGGTCACTGATTCACTGTAGTTTATCATACTCATCCATGAACTTTTAGCCCATTTTTAGTTCAAAACTTCAAACACATCAAATGTTCTTAACATCTATCTCTACTTACCATTCTATTTTATGTTTTTCTAGTGGTGTTTCGTTATAAATTTTGGGAAATTTTCTTACATTTTGTGAGTTCTTTCTTCAAGAGTGATGTTATGCTAACATGATCCTTGTTATGTGAGGTTGAGAAGGAAGGGTTCTTTTTGTTCAATTTTCTAGATTTGGTTTTAGTGCATTTTCTGTGATTCACCTTACACTATATATCTTCATTCTTCACATGACCACATCAAAGTTTTTGTTTTCTCTTTTTAATTTTGTATAATATGCCTTCACCCAAGCAAGGCTCCACACTTTAGAGAATTCTTGATTATTGTCATTTCATTTAGTAATCCGTTCATAACGATATTTGTGCATCTAGTTGTAGTAAAATGATCTTCTTTCTTTATACAAATATTGTTTTTTCTTCTCTTTTTAATTTTTATTCACAAATCTTAAGATTTCATGGTTTAAACAAGTAAGAAATATATGATTGTTGTTTATGTTGCAGACAAGCTGACACCAGCTGCATTTGAGAAACATTCGGGTAGGGAAACTGCGAGAAAATGGAAGAACAACATTTGGGTGATTGTTGATGGAGAGAAGGTGCCATTGTCAAAGACTTCACTCCTCAAGTATTACAACAAAGCGTTGACCAAAACAGTCAACAAATCCCAAACTGGTCAACGAGTTTGTCACCGAGATGAGTTTCTTAAATGCACACAATGCAATAAACTCCGCCGATTTCATCTCCGAACAAAAGCAGAATGTCGGGCATACCATGATGCTTTTATCAACAACAATAACTGGAAGTGCTCCGATATGCCGTTTGACAAGTATATATATGCCTCTTTTATCATCATCATCCTCGATACCATTATATCATCGATTAATTTTTCACCATTTTCATTTGTGTTGCAGAATAACATGTGATGATGAAGAGGAAAGAGCAAGCCGGAGAGTGTACAGAGGGTGTTTGGTGTCGTCAACATGCAGAGGTTGTACATCCTGCGTTTGTTTTGGTTGTGTTACTTGTCGTTTTTCTGACTGCTGTTGTCAGACGTGCATTGACTTCACAAGCAATGCAAAAGCTTAACGTAGGTGTCCTTCTGGAACATATCATCATTTTTAATCATTCAGTCTCATTGCATTGAGATCTTGGTCGTTGACATTAATTACTATCCCTTCGTTTTTAACATGAGACTTAAATTTTGCATTTCGGCAAAACCCTCTAATTAATGTCGTTTAATGTTATTCAATTTGAAATCCAAAATTGAGATGTTCGCTTTTTGTTGCACTTCGATTAATAGCCGATAACTATATTGTGTTCTTGTTGCAAGTTATGTAGAAACATTAAGCTATATGTCCGAATAACTGATGTTATTCATGGTGAGGAAAAACATATGAATTTATTAAAAATGCTTGCACTTAACATATGGTTGTTTAAAATAAGACTTCTATTCGAAGTGAAACCATAAAAATGGTAAAAACATGGCTAAATTGCACATATAGTTCTTATGTTATGTTAACAATTTATTACCAATTATGGTTTTTTTTCCCTGATGCGGTCGACATTAACAAATTGCGAATTGGTTGGTAGATGGATGTAAAATAATTGTTTTGCCTCCGCTATAATTCAAATTTCCACATTCGAAATCGAACAAACAGAAATTTGGAATATGAGCACACAAAAATATTTGTTTTAATGGTACTTTATTACATTGGAAACCCTCTTTTATTCTATAACTATGCGTAAGCTTGTCCTTGCATTTGATTAAAATAATATGACTAAGAAAAATTATAGACAAAGACCGTTGCATTTGATTAAATTAATATGACTAAGAAAAATTATAGAATATATATCAACCTATTAATTTTGAATATAATTTTAATACGAAATTAATTATAACTTGATCATCACATATATTATCTAACAATAATAATATTTGCAACACAAACCTCGAAAAGAAAACATAATCACATTCTCAACATAATAATATAACCAAAATAAAAAAAATATTTAATAATATCTATGAATTATTATAGTGAAAATAAAACATCTCAACAAATATACAAATGTGATATGTGAATATCCTATTATTTTAAACTCATTTTTAGTGAATCTAATGTAAAAAAATAAATAAAATAAAATAAATAATAAAAATAAAAAATTAAAACTAAAAAACATAAGAAATTTCAAATGATAAATTTGTCTGATTAATATATCTTTAAGATATATAAATCATAAACCATGTAGAACATATATATAAAAAAACGATAAATTTTATTTCATATTATCTTCAAATAATATAAACAAAATCCAAAAACTTTAAAAAGGTGAAAAGTAATGGAAGTTTTAATATTTACAACTAATGATCATGTTATGCGTCCTACTACATAAGTTATATATATATATATATATATATATATATATATATATATATATATATATATATATATATATATATATATATATATATATATATATATATATATATATATATAAGACGTATTAAAATTTTCTTTTTAATCAACAACAAATTTTTAGACATGTCTTTACTGAATTACTGCTAACAAAAGTTTCAAATAAGAGTGTTTAACCTATGACATGTGTGTTAGCTCGTGTAAATTTTGATATTCTTTATACGTATTGAGAATTTAACGATGTGAAAACATGGTTGGTTTTATAATTTTTCTATGCATATAAGAATATTTTTGAGATAAACCATGTTTTGTATGATGGGTTTTAAAAAAATGACAAGTTTTTTATATATGACTTATTTAAAATAAAAATTCCTTTAAAATAAGAACTTGATAAGATTTGAGACATGTTTTTTATGTTTAAATATCAATGTTGTATCTATTTATCTAGTGATCTAATCATACTATATATTTAAAAGACATATTATCATATTTCTTATATATAGTTACACGTTACACTAACATCAAATTTTCTTAATAGCATAAAAATTAAAAGGTAACATATATCGTAGAAAACAATCAACTTTTGATATGAAAATACAAATAACTAAGAGTCTAAGAGTATTGTTTCACCAAATGTTCTAACAAGTATAACTTTTGAGAAAAAAATATGGAGGACTTCGAGTTGATCAAAACACACACACACATATATATATATTCCAAATTTATATCTTTTTCTTCCTCATTCAATATGAATACGTGTTACACAATATAAAGTTTTGAATGTTTTCAAATCATTTTTTTCCTCTATCTTATTACCAAATTCTAACAATCTTCACTAAATATAATAATTACCACTTACTAACCATAGTTGAGTTAAAAAAATTATTCATTTGTAGTGGTTAATTATTTTAAAGTTAATATCATAAGTACACAAAGTTATATATATATATATATATATATATATATATATATATATATATATATATATATATATATATATATATATATATATAGTTGTACTGACTAATTAGTTTTTAGTTAAAAATATATATGGATTGTAAACTTGTAGTGAGAGTTTCAAATGAATATGATGTAACTGGTCTCTATTAAAATAAATTAAAAGTAATCTTGCACGTTGGGCAAGAATACAATTATACAGTTAAAACAATATTGGATAAAATGTTTAACTCAGTAATGGTGCCAAGAATTTGGATATTAAGAATACACATATAATCAAAATCAAAAATAACTATTTGCACATAGTTGTTTAATTTATAAAGCTGTACCTGCTAAAGTATAATATAAACAAAAATTACAAGTAAATCCGGTTAATTTCTTTTGTTGACAATGATTGATTATATGGTTATAAAAAAATAAAAACACATTTCTTAATGAAAATGACCAAAAGTTAACATATATTTCTTTTGGAGAGGAGACTTGGAATTTTTTTTTTTCTCTATCATGGCATAAACTGTCATATTGTGATTAAAAGAAAATACTAAACGCATTGTATGTTTATATGAGATTGTGATAAAAGTTTGCATCATAATGTAGATAAAAGTTATACGGTCTAAATTGTATATTCTTATTTATATCAAGCTTTGTATATTGATAGTTATAATAGAAAAATGTATTAAATTATTCATAATATAACAATATAAAGATAAATTAAATAAATAGAATAATAAAACAAATTAACAATCAAAATAGGGGATGACGTAGCCTTCTTGAAGTATAACTTACGGATATAATTTACTAAGTTACGAAATAAAAAATATCGTGGAACATTAAAAAACATTAATTACTGTATTAAAAAAAATATTACATGACAAGAACTAACCACCAAACACCTCAAATTTGTTTTGAATAAATAATCTCAATTCCAAAGAAGATCATGTCCCGCTGTCAAATTTCGTCATTAAAAATTTTCTTTTAGATATACACGACTACAAGCTTCTTCTCCATTGTCAAATACCGAAAACAGAAAGTGGAGAGAAGAAAATATATAACTAAGAGTGGAAGATAATGTTTTTATATAAATAAAAGATTGCAATTAATCATTCAATTAAGTTGAAGAAGTTGAAAAGATTTAGAGTTATATATATATATATATATATATATATATATATATATATATATATATATATATATATATATATATATATATATATATATATATATATATATATATATATATATATAAAGACAACATATATTTTTAATACTTTATTACAGTGGAAGCCCCTTTATTCTACAATTATGGCTCTGCCCATCAACCACAGTTGTTTCTACATTGATTTTGGTCGTTGTAACACAAACCACCATCATAATAACACATGCATAGATAGTCAGTGCATGGTTTTGGGAAACATTTCCCAATTCTAACTTTATGCTCTGCGGTGTTATGGTTTGGATTTTAAAATGCCTAATTAACATAAACAAAGGTTCTTAGTGGAATCAATCTAATCGATAAAAGTTTTTGTTTATTTTATATCAAGGGATATATATATATATATAGAATGTGTGTGAGAGAGAGACTAACATTCAAATGTCGTAAATGAACCGAAAATCATCACAATCTATAGATTTTTTTTATAACAGAACCTGCCATATAGTAAACCTAAAGAGAACATAATATTTTGTATTGTGAAATAATTCTAGAATTCCACTTATTGTTGTTGTGTTATATATTAAGCGCACTAAGGGGTACTGTTTGACAAAACATCTTATTAGATTATTAACGGTTCCATACTTGTTATAAGTTAAAAAAAATTTTGGATAAAAATAGCTTATAGTGATGGCAAATCGCTAATAAATCAATTTTTTATAAATTAACTCCCTCTAAGTTATTAACTTATAAGCTAATACGTAATAAGTTTTTTTTCCAAACACTCCTAATAAATAATCGTTAAAAGTTGTTCAGTTTCTCTAAGCAAAACAAAATTTCATTATTAGTCGAAAGAAAATATAATTATTTTTCTTTGTATAGTTTTAAGAAAATTATATTCCAATACACAAATCTAGTTCCACAAATGTACATTAATTATACGAATCCTCGACTTTTTTGAGATTTTTTCTGGAGAGTGTTAATCACGTTATGTATATATTGTAATTTATGTGTTTTAGTATAGCCCTTGTAAAAGCAGCCCAATTGTAGGTATTTAGCCCGTTAGAGTTGTACTATTATCAATAATGATGGAATGCAATTTTGGAAATCATGGTAAAATAAAAAGTTTTTTTGTATAGAAAATAATAAATTATGGGTAATGATGGAATAATTACCCACAAGCTTCTTTATGATAGCCCACCTTTGGAAAACCCTACTTTTCTAATTGTGAATAACATGTGATGATAAAGAGGAAAGAGCAAGCTGGAGTGTACAAAGACTGTTTGGTGTTGTCAACATGCAGAGAGGTTGTACATTTTGGTTGTGTACTTGTCGTTTTTGGACTATTGTTGTGAGACATAATTGTTAATGTTCATACTAAAAGTTTATATAAATATGAACAAAAACCATTATGTTTGGATATTTTTATACGAATTTGCACATTCCATAATAAATAAAAATAATGCAAGTAAAACATCAGATTTATTATATACAAAACGTGTGAGTTATTCGATACGATTTCAATCCTTAAGATCCTAATCAATTTAAGCACGTTTATTTATTTATTATTTTTTTAAAGAGTAAGTAAAAAAAAATCTCATAAAATAGAATAAGAAATAGTTAAGTATTAATTTATATCCCATAGGTATCTCAATATAACCCCACGTACCTAGGAGTAGAGTATCTTTAGTTTATACTGCATTCAGTACGGTTTCGATATTTGGATAAAACATAATTGTTCAGACACTTTGAGTAAGACTATTTGGTTCGGATATTTGGATTTCTGAATTAGTTTTCAACGAACCAAATAATTATTTTGGATTTTGGATTGGCTCAAG